TGGGCCGGAGACGGGGGAAGAGGGGGGGGCGGATGTGGGGAAGGAGATGGGATGGGATGTGGGGCAGGAGATGGGGCAGGAGCTGGGGCAGGATGTGGGGGGGGATGTGGGGCAGGAGGTGGGGCAGAGTGTGGGGCTGGGGATGTGAGATATGGGGCTGGGATGTGGGGCAGGGTGTGGGGCAGGGTGTGGGGCTGGGATGGGGATTTTGGGTGGGGATGGGTGACCCACCACCACCACCAACATCCAGTCTCACATCAGCAAGACCCTCACCAAGGTGTGGGGCGGGGATGTGGGGCTGGGATCTATGGGGCAGAGCGTGGGGCAGGATTTGGGGCAGGACCAGGTCTATGGGGCAGGGCTGGGATCTATGGGGCAGGGCTGGGATCTATGGGGCAGGACCAGCTCTATTGAGTAGGATTTAGGGTAGAACCGAGGCTGTAGGACAGGACTAAGTCTATAGGGCAGCCCCAGGAATCTATGGGGCCGGCCCAGGGATCTATGGGGCGGGGTGTGGGGCAGGCTATGGGGCAGACACGACGCTGTGGGGCAGCGTGTGTCCCCCCCAAATCTCACCCCAGAGCTGGGTGGACGAGAAGACACCCTGGACCACGCGCTACGGCTCCATCGCCGGCCTGGCTGAGCTGGGCCCCGACGTGAGTGACCCACACCCTGCCCCACAGCGGCCTCCTCCTGCCCCACACCCTGACCCTGCCCCACGGCAGCCTCCTCCTGCCCCACAGCGGCCTCTGGGGACCCCAATTTCCCCCTCTCCTCCTCCAAAATGCCACCTCAATGTCCCCAAACTCTCCCCACACCCTGCCCCACAGCGGCCTCCTGCCCCATGGCGGTGTCACCCTGCCCCACGGCGGCTTCCTCCTGCCCCACAGCGGCCTCCTGCCCCATGGCGGCATCACCCTCCCCTTTCCCATCCTTTTTCCCCTATTTTCCCCCTTTTTTTCCCATTTCCCCCCCTTTTTCTTCCCTTTTTTCCCCCATTTTTTCCCCTTTTCCCCCCATTTTTCCCATTTTTTACTGCATTTTTCCCCTTTTTCTCCCCAAAATATTCCTTTAATGTCACTTGAATGTCCCCAAACGTCCCCAAACTGTCCCCAAATTGTCCCCAGGTCACCAAGACCCACACCCTGCCCCACAGCGGTGCCACCCTCCCCTTCCCCATCCTCCTTTATCCCCCCTTTTTCCCCCTTTTTTGCCCATTTTCCCCCTTTTTCCCCCCAAATGTCACTTTAATGTCACTTAGTGTCACTTTAATGTCCCCAAATTGTCCCCAGGTCACCAAGACCCACACCCTGCCCCACAGCGGCGCCACCCTCCCCTCCTCCATCCCCCTTTTCCCCCCCCTTTTTCCCCCTTTCTGTAGAACTGC